ATCGTTTTCTAAAGAGGTCCATCTGGCGATGCTAGATTTCGTACCATTGATATTAAGGGTTGTGAAACGGAGTTTATCAGGTCTACTAATTTGTATACGTGTTGTTGCGGATAACCGCTTACCACGCTTCCTCCGTCTCCTTGCAGGCAGTCGCCAGTCGCTAAAGTCTCCGCTTCGCTTGACTGACATTTTTGGGGTGCGGCCTCTGCGTCGTGTTGGAGTCTGTCGGTGTGTCGGGGACTCTCGAACGCTTCTCCGCTTTTGGAATAGCAGGCTGACTGGCGGGTACATAGGCCTTCGGAGCTTTCCGCGGCCTTACTGCTTGGCTTGGAGCAGCTGGTTGTTGTTGGCCGTGATGACCGCGAATTTGGCGTGATGGCCCCGGTTTGTTGGGGTGCCGCGACGCTCTGTCGTCGCTACCACCAGGAACTCTCTTTTCAGGAACTCTCTCCGCTGGGCGGCGCGAAGTTCAGCGAAGTCCTTCCTCTCCGTTTCGTGCTTTCCGCGAACTTCCTCAAGTTCTGGTAAATTGTCGGAAGTAATCGCCAATTTCAACTCAAGTGTCTGCTCGACCCAGTCACGAAGTACACGGAGTCCGCAGTCGGTATAGCAAGTGACCTCTCCTTCAGTAAGGATGCAGCCCTTGTTCGCTGAGATCATTCTAAGGTCGAGGACCTCAACTTGTCTCAGGGACCTCACCTGATCGGAGGCTTTCATCAATTGATTGATCTGCCTGATATGGTGACCGTCCGCTGGCTCGACCATGGTGCACCATGTTACCGAGAGGATGTTTGCCTCCTGGGCCATCAGTTCGGCGAGTGGACCAATGATCTTCGCAGCTATTTCCTCAAAGCCACATGGAGTCGTACTGCTAAGGGCTCCAGAGATGCCTGCCGCACCCGCATGGACAATCACATGGGCTTGATGGTTTGGGAAGTCGACGCAGAATACGCGAGCACTGCTGATCACGTCAGCTATGAGCATCTCCTGTTTGACTTTGAACTCGCCAAATACGTAGTCCCCAGCAAGACTTCCGTAGAGGTCGAACTCCAAGCCAGCAGAGTATCGTAGTTTACGGCAGATTCCGTCAACGTATTCTAGCGCGCACACCTTTGACACTTTCTTCCGTCGGACTACTAGGGCCTCCTCAATGGACATGTCCGAGACAGCTGCAGTCACCCCCTGGGCGGCTTGGTCAACGGACAGCCCGCAAATTTGCTTTTTTGCGGCCTCGAGTTCGGCTCTGTTTGTGGTGAGCGTTTCTTCGTGCGCGAGGAGTTTAAGCCCAAGGACGCTCGCTTTTGCCTGTGCTTCGGCCAGTGATTTCTCGACTCCTTCTACCTCAAGTGCCTTTTCGTTGGCCGCAACGAAGGCTGCCTCGTGCTTATTTTCGACGGCTACGAGCTTGCTATTCATGTTGCCGACTATACAGCAATGTCCCGCTTCCACCATCAAGGATGCGGCCATTGATCTGCACGCGTCGCAGGCATGGATTGTTAGATCGCTTGCTTCAATCAACGATCGTCTGAAGAACGGTGTGCACCCACTGTCCCGAAAACTCATTGGCCCGAAATCTCAATGGCCCGAAAAAACAGTGTCCCGAACGAATGGTGCGACGAACACGCTCAGGGTGTCATCCGGCTATTCCATAAGGATGTGGTGTGCACCCACATCAGTATGGAGCATGATTCACCATTCGGAGGCATGGACATCGTTTTCTGCGGAGATTTGCGACAATTACCGCCAGTCAACATGGTTCCAATATTCGAACCCTTGCAGCGGGGCATCCATCGATCGGCGCTATGGCGGTCACTGTCGTATTATCCATTGCAAGAGGTGAATATGTTTCCCCATTCGAAAAAGTGGGTTTCCCCAGTGGGTGTTTCCCCAGTGGGTGCACACCGTTCTTCAGACGATCGTTGATTGTGTGGAAGATGCCTGAGCCGATCATGCTTATCTCATCAATCAAGACGATTCTTACATCAGCGAATGCGTTCCGATACAGTTGCAGTGCCTTGAGAGAAAGACCCCTCCGGCGTTGCATGATCGATATGTTGAAGGCGTTGTGCACCGTCGTTCCCCCGATGAGGACAGCGGCCTTTCCGGTCGAAGCTGCGGCAACGTAGGCGTTCCTTCGTGTATCATGAGTTTGCGCGAAGCGATTATATGTTTCCATCAATAGTTTCAGAGTGAAAGTCTTGCCGCAACCGGCGGCTCCAGTCAAAAAAATTTGAACTGGAGGTAAGGTGGGGTCCTGCATCCGCGTAATACAGTGTTTCAAGAGAGCCCTCTGCTCGAAGTTGGTTTTTCGCATCGAATCGCAGTAAGCAGCTGATGATAGCACATTTGTCCGTTTCCGGACTACGGAGGAGAGCGAATGAGGCACCGGTACACGCCGAATGTCCTCATTATACAATCGTTCCAGGACATCTGGATGATGAATATAATTTTCCGCGGGTTGCGGCTCAACCTCATTATCATCTGAAGATGTTGCCCCCCACAGTTCGTGCTGCTCCGCGATTCTCTCTTCCAGATTCTCAAGAGCTTCGTAAAGTTGTCGATTCTGTTGGATATTCATTTCATGCTGATCATAGATCTTTAAAAACTTATCATGATCTAGAAGATCATTGTGCTCGTTCCGGAAGGGATAGAAGAGCAGCACCATGCTCCGCTTGTAATTCGTGGTGTCAGCGCTTTCGAATCGAGTCCATCGGATTATGCGACTTCGGTTCCGTTCCCTGTAGAGCTGATGCCCCTCCGAATCTCGTTTGTTTCTGACAGGTGTCATCAAAGCAACGAAATCAGCTAAGCACATTGGAGTCAAGGCAATGGGTCGACTTTCATACTTCGGAATTATATTGGTTGTCTCGATATCAGTCGATTCTAGCGACAAATCTTCACAATCCATTCGTGCCTTGCTCTTGCGACGGACAAACCGTTTGTTGGGTACCTCGCAATCAATGAGGAAATTCTCTCGACTGGCTTGGCTCATTGGTCGTCTGAGAAGGAACCATGCTGCCTCTTGAGTAGTCATCTCAACCGCATCGAGCATTCGTATGCTGATTCTTTTGAGGAGATCCGTGAAGTCCTGGTCGGGATACTCAGCTTGGAGATTTTTCAGTTGTCGTTACAAATCCGATATCCCCCGATTGGTTTTGTTGATATACTCCACGACGTAAGATGCACAGCTGTTTCCCCCCAAGATGAACAGGAAGTCCATGTTCGATTTCAAGGTGTTCGCGATCCACGGATTGAAAGTGTTCGTCCATACATCTTTCATGGTCCTTTTGAAGATTATAGTCGGGCGCTGAATGGTCGCTCTGATGACATTCAGATATTCGTCATCCTTCAGATTGAAGCTCGACAAGAATTCTTCAGCATTATCGTACTCATTTTCGTCCAACGCTTTCTTCATCGCATGCCCTTTTTTGCGGAGGTTTCCGCGCCGACCGTCGTCCTTGGCCAGCGGCAAGAGGATCCGTGTCGTCGAGGAAGGCCAATACGGTATATTGAAGCGACAACTTCCGGATTTTTGACCGGGCGTTCTCTCGTTCTTGTAACAAGTAAACGTATGTTTATGAACTTGGACTGATGCATAAAAATTCAGAGGTAGCAGAGCCACTACCGTGTAGAGCAGTGTTTCCCAACCTGGGTTCCGTGGCGGATTGCGCGGAACCCCAAAGTCTACCTACGGAACCCCTACGGAACCCCTGCGGAACCCCTAGGGGTTCCGTCGAAGAAAAAAGGTTGGGAACCACTGGTGTAGAGGACGTGAAACATCGTCGGAATGGCCGTTCGTAAGACTCGAGCATCGTTATTATCCTTTTAAACTCAGCTCGTACTTTTAGGTCTCATTATCACTGGTGAAGTCGAACGTTTCACCGAAGTTGGGAAAATATCTTCTTCTGAGTGGAAAATATCTTCTTCCGAGTGGAAAATATCTTCATCTGAGTGTAAAATATCTTCTTCTGAGTTTTGAAAGAGGTGCTAGCCATTGGGCCGTTACGCGCGCTCTGGAAATTTGAAATCGCCCTCTCCCAGGAGCAGCCATGATCACGGGCGAATAGGGCGCATAGGGTGTCATTCTTGCCTCCAGGAGTTGATCTGTGCGTGTGGGAATTCCGTAGGAAGTATGATGTGCCGTAAGTTTGCTATCTAAAGACACCAACCGGGTGTCGATCGGTGTAGAAGGCACGGAGCTGCAGGGCGTAGAAAATGGACAAGTTTCGTCACACTTTTGGTGAAATACTGGGCCAACCTTTTCAAAGACGTTTCACGTCAATATGGATCCTCTATCGCACCAACAGTATCGACTGGGCACAATCGATTGATCAGATCAACTGTTTTCGGCATGTTTTCCGAGACTTGTTCTCTCGGATCGTTCTCCAGCCAAACGAGCGCATGAACGTGAGGACTTCCACGATGCTGAAATTCAACGCGTAAGAAATGGTCGATCACCCGATTCGGGATCAACGGACTGATACGATCGGATTCGAGAATCCGCATGATTGTCTCTATCATCTTCCAGAAGTAAATGCAGCATGTAGTCGAGTCCTCGTTCGCTAGATCGGCTCTCAAGCTGGCAGAGAACTGGGAGATAGGATCCTCTGAGCCCATCGCAGTGCTATTCCGAAGCTTATGGAGAATTCGCAGCAGATGCGGACAGCGGATCTCGTTTGCACTCATGGTGAGGAAAAAAGTGGGTTTACCCAGCTGCCTGATCATTGCGAATATTCTCCCTTCCTTGAGGCCCTGTACTGCACGGAGTTGGGTATGGACTTGAGAAAAGCGAAATTATTGCAGACGCAATGCTCGAGGAAGCGACTGTCCTCGATCAGTTGTCGTGTCACCCGTCTCAAGTCATTGCTGTTTCGATAAGTGGCGTAAAGCCCCCTTGCCAAGCGCAACCTCTTAAATTTCATCGCCATTTAAAGAATGTGTTCCGGTTTCACTCCTCGGCGATCCCTGCGACGAATCTCACTGGTTGCAATCATGTATTGTGTGACTTTCACACCGCTTCGGAATCGCCTCGGGGTTCCGTAATAGATAGCCGGGAACGACAGTTCTTCAGCGTGCTCGTCGTATGCGAGGCTGAGAGGAGTGGCTCCCTGCGCTGGTGCTATGACCAAATATTTCTCCTCACTCCGTAGTAATGTTTGCTGACAGGCAAGTAGTTCTCCGCTGTCGCTGATTCCGTCAATGCCTTCTATTTCTATTGGTTCTTCGCCTCCCGGATCCCTGTGAAATCGAGCCCAATCAATTTTGACGTCATAAAGTCGATATAGAGGACTGTTCTGGAGATACTCCAACCAAGCTTTCACATCACTCTTCTTCACCTGACCATAGTACGCTGTAATCTTGTGTATGATATGCCTCTTCAGAGTAACATTGAAGGCGGAATCATCCGCGAGTTCGCGTGGTAAATCCGAGACCATGGTGTCTACGTCGACAGATACATTGATGACCTGACCGACGATGGTGTAGGTGCCAGAGTTCCAACGCAAACGACGGATCTGCATGAATGGTATGCGAGGGCTTATGAGTCTGGTTGTGATCGCATTGAGATCCGGTAGATTCGCCGGCTCCGGTGGATACCGAGAACCGTTGTATGCTGCCAGTGCAGGAATTGCACCATTGCTCAAGGACTTGTTGCAGGTGTGACACAGCTTCGCCTCAGCTGGGGGTCACCCGATCTCTCCGAGCAGATCGTAATGTAGAGGCCTTGCCGGTCGTAAATCGCTGGAAAACCGTAGTCGTTCACAAACGGAACAGGCATATCCGAATTCTTGTTCGAGGAAGCTTTTCTTGAACCAGCTTGAAGCTGCAGGGAGATGATTTCGAAAATCCATGCTTGCATTCCGTCCTCTTGCCATCCTGGCTCGTTGACGATATCTCCGAGCACGCTCACGATCAGTGAGAGGCGGAGGAACAATTGAGGATCCACTCGCCACAGAAATCACTAATGTTCGCCTTTCTCGAGGCCATTGCGAAGATCTGGGGCTCGACACCGTACGGGTTTGGGGATAGACATTGACGAAAATTTCGTTGACTGTTTCCCGCTGTCCGTGGTCACTCGAAAAACTCGGAGAGGACTCGGTTTCGGAAGAGTCTGAAGCCGAGGCTCCACTGAAGTTCAGGAGAATTCACACTAGTTCATTCCGGAAGAACCTCTTTGAGGCGCGACCAGAATGAAAGACCTTATTGACTTTCCTCGTTGAGGGCAGTTCCGGCGGCTTCGGAGACTGTGGCGCGGATGTAGGGGCTTGAAAGCGACATGTATATGACAGCGGAAACGAGCCGGTGCTCGTTGCACCGACGAGTGGTCGAGCGCTCAGCGCGTCATTGACAGTCACAGGCTTTGACTTCTCGTGAAAACGTGCAGATCCGCAGCGTCGCCGGTGCCGCTCGCGCAGGGGGTGGCGTGGGTTCGAAACCTGTTGCCGGCCAAATCGCCTGACGGAAGGAGCAACAGATCCCCGGTTAAGATCTACCCGGAATCATTTGCCTCCGGCATCCGTCTTCAGAGGCAAATCCTGATGGCTCATACTCGGGACGTTAGGGGTTTGGCCCGGAAAATATGAAGGACATAGCGGGGCGACCGCAGCGCCGGTCACAGAGCGCGGGCTAATATCAAGAGTGACGACCATTTCGGCCCCACTCAGAATAACTGAACGTCAGCTGAGATCATCGTGGGTCATGGACCATGCATTGTATGCCTGCTGCACGTCGCAATGAAGTTCGGAACACTAGGGGCAGCATCATGATTGCGATAGGGGATCACCACACGCGAGATTTCGAAGTAATCCGTAGCTGTCAATCCTCTCCACTCCGACGCGCGGATTCGAGGAGAACGATGTCTTCCTCGTGACTACGCGAGATGGTGGTTCTCGGAACCTCATCATGACATTCCCGTGGCGAGAATGTCATATGTTGCCATTTCTTGAAGCATTCCGGAGTTTCCCGTGTTTGTGGGATACTCAGGATGCAGACTATCGGGATAAACATCGCAAGG